AACAAGCCACGGTTTCCCAAGAGACAAGAAGAAAGGGAAAGGGGAAGGGACAAGGCCACTCCAAAAGTAAATCCTTCTTAATGAGATACCTTTAGAGAATTAATGAGCTACTAAACTCCAGCTCAAACAACTAAGAGAACAAGCTCAACACCATATGCTTCAAAACAACCAACCCGTGAACCATCAGCAGTCAAGGACCAATCGAGCCAGCAAACCAAAGGTCTACCAAGCCTTATGCACAATCTACCATGATCATTGGATGCTTTCCCATCATTAAATAACTAAAAAAAGAAAAGAGCATAAAATATATTATTGTTCAAATAAAATTAAAAATTACAGAAACATTTGATAGCATCAACACTGAATACAGGGATGAACGTGATGCAGCTTTGGTCACACAAGCAGTGTATTTAGAATTTGTCTGATTCGGGTGAATTCAAAATATGTGGAGAGTAGCCTAACGAGGTATTTCAAAATACTCACAATTATATTTTGTATTTCTTTTTCTCCAAATTGAACACTTAAAATTTAGAACTTTTGCATTCTTTGTACTTTACACTTGAAAATTTTCAAAACAAATAGTGCCTTAGATTGCAACAAATCTGATAAAATAATTGAGCACAAAAATTTCATGAATCTAATGCCTCAACAAAACCTATTTAAAGATTTCATGAAACACAAAAATAGTATGGAATAAACCACTTAAAGAAGCCATGATCTACAATAACTTCGAAGTCTGTAAGAATAGAACTGCTCCTCAGCCGAGCTGTATTCTCAGAACAGAAGAAATCTAGTGGCAGAGAAGTTCACCTGATAGAACAGGATTAGTAATACATAAGTCAGTTCATCACTTGAATGCACATGTTTAACTCAAAATGATGTAGGGAGTGATTAACTCAGGGAAAATGTCATAGATTGTCAGTTTTCTTCTCATTGAGTGGCCAAACCTAGATGTAACTATTCTATTTCTCCGAGAGATTTCTTTTCTGCGCTTCAAATAATATAATCTCTTACAGATGGTCTGTTCTTTTTGCACACTGAAGTTAGCCATTGGTTGGACGTTTCATATTAAATCCCTCAATTTTCTTGTGCAGCTGTTAGATGGATCACAAAAGCTTTTGCCAAAAGAGGAGCTTATTAGAAGATTTGAGCAGGAAGGTTAGGTTCTTGAAAGGATTTATTTCAGTATAGATTCATTTTTATAAAAAAAAATCTTTGCTCATTGATTTAGCACTAGGCATATTCTCATTCCTGATAGCAATTCTTCATGTTCTCATTCCTGGGAGCAATTCTTGTTAAGTTACAACTGCAATTCTTGTCGGAAAAAAAAGTAACAAATCCTTGTAGATTTTATCTAATTTCATCCTTGCAGTCCTGCTTACTCTCTTTCATGATATACATATTGCAGGAATCTCCCTGGATCGTCCTGTTGTTACCTCTTGTGGTACTGGTGTTACTGCATGCATACTTTCTCTTGTAAGAATCTGTTTGTCTTCAAAGAGACGTTAAGATTCTTCTTCGTGGTAGAAGAGAAGCCTAAGAATGAAAGATTTTAACTTACTCATAAATTTCTCTTTCAGGGTCTCCATCGGCTAGGAAAGGCTGATGTGCCTGTATATGATGGATCTTGGACGGAATGGGGATCCCATCCTGACACTCCTGTCAGCACTACTTGAATTACTCCTCCAATGGTTACCTGCAGAGTCTGATCTAAATCACAGAGCTCGAAATCTGATTTCCATAAACAGTCAACTCTGAATGGTGAGCTGCATAATCCCATGTCTAAAACACATGTGCATAATCTTTTTTATCCTAAATATGCTGAATATCTCAAAACCTGAACAGAATTTTAGATATATTCGGTGTGTATTAGCTCTGCGGAACTTAGTAAGAATATTTATTTCAAATTGGCAGATAGCAATCATTTTGGAATTTTTCTATGGTTCTGTTGGTTTGTTTTTAAGTCGAGGATGGTAATCACTCAACGAGTCACTCCTTTTAGGGAAAGGGAAACACAGCAAAATAAGTTTCAAAATCTAACTAGTTTGTTATGTGGTTGTGAAGTGAATTGATACAGAATGATAATATGTGGCGTAGCATCTACTTGTGCTTTATCTTCATTAGCTTTTAGTTTTCTTCTCAACGTTTTCTGATGTTATGCGCGCCATTTTAGGAGCAATTTCTCAATATTATTCTCAGCTCTTCTCATTCTGGATGCTGTAATCACTGTCAGCATAGAAATGAGAACTTTTACTACTACTGAAAAGGTTCATAAGAAGCTTCCCAAAAGAACACTGGGCTGTATTCTGGAGGTTTTGTTTTTTTCTTCATATAGAGGCTTGCAACATGATATTTGTGAGAGTTTTGAGAGGTTATCTTCAGTAATTATCATTTAGATTTATGTGATTATTGCCAAAAGATGATAATTCTTCTCATTTTAGATATTTTGAACATTGAAAGCTTCAGACATTTTAGTATTCTTGTAAACCCTTTTAGCATCATTCATAGATCATTTAGTCCACCCCTTTTGTGAACGTTGAAGATTCGGATAAATCACCAAGTAGAGCTCTGAGAGATGGCAAATCTGGACACGTCACATCACCTGAATGTACTGGGCCCCGGGTGACGTTGCGCATCTGGATTCGCCTCCAGACGAATCCGGACGCCGCACGTAATAATTTTCCCTCTCCGAGAGGGTATTCACGGTAGTATTTTTTTTTCTTTTTTTAAAATCTTATCTTGTTATCACTACTACAACAGACATGGATGATGAAGGTTGTTTCAAATCTTCTAAATATATATTGGGCTTAGATTATTCCCAATGTCATAGTGTTGTAGAATTCCACTCATTTATTTAATGGGTAAAGTATCCCAATATGCATCCTACTCAACCAAACTCATACCTGACCCCAACATGAAATGTTAACCCGATCTAAGTTAAATATGATTATCTTTGTTGAGCATGATTTGAGTATTTCATTAATAAAAATATTAGTAGTTAATTTTTATGTTTTTGGACTGACCCACTTCATCCTTATTTTTTTCTTTTGAGTTGCTTAAGCTGATCCCAATCTATCGCAAATCTTAAATGGATTAACTTGAATTCAGATTTTTTGTTGTTGTTGTTGTTGGATTCAAATCAAAATTTTTGCCACCCTATCTTCAAGCTTAGCACTTCAACTTTGCAGAGCAACTCTGTTGTAAACCCTGTGATGATCTCTTGATAAAATATTTAGCTGTTAGAAGCTTCTGAAATTTTTTTTTGGGTACATTTAGGTCATTTAAGTCAGACTCATATATGAAGCGAATACACAAATACTCGAACCCAAGACCTATTTGTTAGAATCCTAAGCTTTCAACCAACGAACTTTTATTTGGTCCGGTGACCGGACGTAGAGCTACGTTCGGCGAGCGCTGAGACCGCGCCACGTAGTAGGCACAAAACCGCAGACCTGACCCGGCGAATAGTGGGTATGTCGCACGTGCGTTTTTTAAATCCATGACAACCCGATATTGCTAGGTATTACTCGGTATTGCTAGATATTTGTCGATTTTGCTCAGCAATAACGAGAAATATCATTATGTGAAGACAAATACCGAGCAATACCGAGTTTTTCTAGAAAAATTCGGTATTGCTCGGTATTGGTCTTCACATAGCGGTATTTCTCGTTATTGCCAAGCAATACCAAGCAAATACCGAGTAATACCCAGCAATATGTGAACATAGCATTCCCGGGTTCTTGTCCGGGTCAAGTCATCGGGCCGCACGGTAAAGAGTAATAGCACGTGGCGCGATCTCAGTGGTGACCGAACATAGAGCTACGTCCGGTCACTTGACCTAATAATTGTTCTCAACCAACAGGATAAGGTGAGCTGTGTGGTTTCTGAAATTTCAAAGCCAAGATGTATCTACTCAACTAAACAATGGTGTAGACTGTAAACTGTTTACAGACTTTCTTAGAAGCTTTAGGTTTCGTTTGTGATGGTTTTCTTACTGTTTTTTAAAACAACTTCTTATTACAAAATTTTTTATTTTTGTATTAAAAATTTGCTTTTAGGAAAGTAAAAAAGCCTTCCCAAACGAAGCCTTTGTTATACATTAAATTATTCATGATATAATATTTTAATAAAAACTTTAATTTTTTTAATATATATATATAT